CTTAAACGAGCGTGAAGTCTGGCCAATGTAGTAGTTCGTGCAGTCATTACAATTTATTTTGTAGACTCCAGACTTATCGTAGATGGATGAATTAATTTCTGTTTTATCTTTCAATAGAGATCCAAGTTTATTGTTAGTCTTGAACGATACGGTGAATTTATTTTTGTCCATGATATTTTTTGACCTTCGAATGAAGTGATCACTTGACACCTTGAGGCCTGAAGATGGTTCTAAACAAGAACCGAAACTAGTTGCCTAAATCAGCAACAAAGGATTACTATATGCAGGTATTTTAAACCATTTTAAGTACAATGGACTTAGGCTACTTTGACTTGATCATGATGGTGTGTTAAACCCATAACGTAATGAATACAATATTACGAGGCCAGTGTACTTTTAAATCCATTTTTAGTAAGCCCAAAACAATTTAATCTCATCATATACGAATTGATCAGTAGTAGTCAGTGACTACTAATATTAGTTGTGCTAGTTTAGCACGTCCCGATCGGCACGCATGGCGTGTTGGTAGTAGTGGCCTTGGGCCTTGTGTTACGATGTTTTATGGTTTCAAACAACGTGTTTGCCATAACGAATTTAGAGATTAATGGAAACCAGAAAGTGGATAGTTCGTTTCGGCCTTGGTTACTTGTTTTAATTTTCGTTTTAAGTAACAAGGCATTTTATATTTCTTTCTGACTGGTGAATTAATCTCTGATTATTTAACGATGTTTGGTTAGTGTCATGTGAGATAATCCGTGACTAACCCTTTGAGTATTATTTCATGTTTAACGATTTATATGTGTTTTAATATTTTGTGTTATGAGTTTACGACAGGTGATGAGATTGTTTTGGTGCGAATTGGATAACGTTGGCCTATGGTCTGGGACTGGCGAGTCGGCGTGGACTCAGCGTGTCTTCGGCAGCTGTGGTAGTGTGTTGAACCTACCTTTGGTGACGACCATGGTACTCACGACGCTTCAGCAGCTGTGGTAGCGTGTTAAACCTACCTGGAGTGATGACCAACTCACGACGCTGGAACCATCGACTCGTTAGCGGACGGAAGATCGACCTAGAGCAGTCAGCTAGCCTACTACGATTCTCGAACGGCTGGGGTTGTGTGATAAACCAACCAGAGGAACTCACATCACGCTGTTGGCCAGCTTCGGTGTTCTTCGATTGATTATCCAGCGGCAGTGGTTGCGTGATAAACCAACCATTGCAACGGAGAACAACGGTCAGCGAGACAACCGGGGCTTGGTCAACGTGTACCCAACGAGTGTTGAACCGTTGTGGTGGATCTTGGCGTGGTGTAAACCCAAGGACTATCCGCATCGGGGGTGGCAAACGATAACTACGAACGGACGGCCATCACGGGACTCACTGCGGCGGACGGGGCAGTGACACGGGACCGTGTGATAAACCGGATCCCCGAGGACTACATGCGAAGGGCGCAAGTAGCTCACATCGGGGGTGGCAAACGACAACTACGAACGGACGGCCACCACGCAGCTCACTGCGGCGGACGGGGCAGTGACACATGTCCGTGTGAGAAACCGGACACTCAGGACGTGAGCGACGAAAACGTACGAGTAGGCTCCCCGGCTGTAGTACCGATATAGGGCGCGCGGGCTGGAAAACCCAGGCCGCGGTGAAGACCAGGTGAGGATGGCAGAGCCCCAGCCTACGACGACGAGTGGGGGGGTGGAACGCACCTCAGCCTGTAGCCGTGGTCGACGGGTAAGCTCGAACCCTATGCTACAGTGGCGGGTTGAGTCGGCTAAGCTAAAGGTACCGCGACATCACGAGTCTGTGTGCAGAACCAGACAGACACCCAGGACGGCGGCGGAGACCGACGGGGACGAGGACTACCGGCTGTAGTCTCGATTGGGGCCACGATGGACGCCCAGCCTGCAGTGAAGGCGTAGTAGCTGCCTACGCCTACCCAACGTTAGGTGGGTGATCCGAACCCCGACTACAGCGGCAGGTGGAGCTCCCCAGGTACCGCTACAACGCTGGGATCTGTGTGTGGAACCAGATTCTCCTGGGACGATTCGGGGATGACGACTAACGACAATGGAAGGTCATCACGTTTCACTGCGGTGGAAGGGGCAGTGACAGGGGTCCGTGCGGTGAGCCGGATTCCCATACGACGACGAGAATGACAGGGGTCCGTGCGGTGAGCCGGATTCCCCTACGATTACGACAACGACAGGGGTCCGTGCGATGAGCCGGATCCCCACGATACGACAACATCGACGAAGTGTCCCTGCAACGAGCAGGACACTCATACGACGACGACAACGACAGGGGTCCGTGCGATGAGCCGGATTCCCATACGACGACAAGCACGAGCAACGGGCAGGGGACCAATGCCCCACGTAGTACATCACATTTATGGCGCCCGAACAAACTACGGCAACGACGGTATTCCTGCAACGAGCAGGATATCCATACGACGGCAGAGACAGGGGTCCGTGCGATGAGCCGGATTCCCAGACGACAGCACCGACAGGGATCTGTGTGAGAAACCAGATGCCCAGACGACAGCGGCGACGGATGGGAAGTATGACCTGAGTCTGCGGTAGCATCGGCGGTGGTCACAACAGACCCAGCCTGCAACGACGGCCAGGTGAGGCCGGACGAGCCCCAGCCTACTACGACGAGTGGGGGGCGGAATGAGCCTCAGCCTGCGGCTGTGACGACAGGAGGGCGACAGTGGACCCCAGGCTACAACGGCAGACGGAGTCAACCCATACTTGGTGTGCAGAACCCAAGTGCCTGGCTGGATGTCGTGTGCTGAACACAAAAACGATTTCGGGGGTGGCGACTAGCTTCCATGGAAGGCCACCACGTCTCACTGCGGTGGAAGGGGCAGTGACCGGTCCGTGATGATTAATCCGGACTACGGCGACATCTGTGTGATGAACCAGATGCTCGAGATCTCCGACGCGGTAAACCTCAGCCAAGGCGACGGCACGGCTGAGCGTGAAAGAAACATCTTGACGCGAACCCTGGAAGGCCAACCCAAATCTCCGTACTGAGGCCTATCCGGAAACTAAATGTGCTGTATAGCACGTGGTACTTAAACCTGGCATGTAAACTAGTGTTATATGTTTCAGTGTGGAAAAGTACGTCACACATATCTTGCAGTCTCATCAACACCGCGAACCGATCGCGGCAAAACAGGTTCACATATTTTATGATTTCAGCAACACCGATAATCATCTCCCGCGATCGCGGCAATACCCGTGAGCCTATCTTGCGGTTTCGGCGGCACCGATAATCGTCTCCCGCGATCGCGGCAATACCCATGAGCCTATCTTGCGGTTTCCGCGACACCGATAATCGTCTCCCACGATCGCAGCAATACCCGTGAGCATATCTTGCAGTTTCGGCGACACCGATAAACGTCTCCCGCGATCACGGCAATACCCGTGAGCATATCTTGCGGTTTCGGTCACACCGATAATCGTTTCCCACGATCGCGGCAACAAAAGCGGTAGTATTTCGATTAGCCGACGATTCCGATGACCGGGCTCCGGATTCCCGGAGGTTTGGGTGGATTCCTGGAGTTTTCCAGGACATTTCAAGGTAAGATAACATTCCCGGAGTTTTCCGGGTTTTCCCGAATTTCCCGGAGAGTAGACACCATGGAGTATTTAACGCCGACAACGACATAACCCCCAAACTGGTGTTTATTTGTTGACAGACGACAGACGAAACTAGACCAGCTCAACAAGTGAATTCGATCAGCTGTTATCTAGTAGTACTAAAGTTCGCCGCTTGAGCGTGTAAGCCTTGAGCGGGCAGGAACGAAGGATTTTACTCAAAGACAGGATTATTCGTTCGTCGTCTTCGAAGTAACTTCGTCGTTACATCTACGCTTGCACGATAATCGACAATTCGTTTACTGAAGGTTAGATATACTAGTTAGGCCTTTTTACGTTTTATTTTATTTTCGTTCAACACACGCATTCTCGTTTTACGACTATTTTTGTTCCAAAATTTGATATTAAATAACTAAATTTTAATAACTTAGTTTCCGCTAACTTGAATCTTGACCCGCCAGTTCCTGCCTGTCAGTGACTAGCGGTGGCTATCGTTAATTTAATTTTCATTAATTAGTTTCGAAATTACGATTTCTCCGTTCGCTTAACAAATAAATATCACGTCTAAATTATATCTCGTTTTCACCGTTTTAATACCCCGAGACTTGTCGTCTAAGTTCTAAACCCCGTCTTTGGCGGGTGAAAGAATCAAGTCTTGGAAGCAGGCTGATTTGAACAATCATCAGCAAATTATCCATTCAATTAAATTAGGCCCCGACGACTCTGTAGGAATTGTGTTTTACCTTAAATATATTCTAAATATATTATAAATTATTTATATTATAAATTAATTAAATATATTCTAAATATATTATAAATTATTTACAAACGTTTTAGCCAAACAGTTAAAAGTTTAATACGAGTAGTTTTATCAAATTGGCTAAGATAGAATACTCGTCGGCCCTACAGAGTCATTCCAAAGGTTAGGCAAAATTTACCAAAACACATTAACGAAGGTGAGGATGAAATAGCTCCTACTGAGTGTCTGCAGGATTTCCTGAGCGCTTCTAGAGCTCTGAGCCTTCGATTAAATTTAAATAAATTGATCAGTCAAAGCCGTGACAACTTCGTATCGACCCCTGGATTTTTCTCGGCTCCTTCTGAGCACTCCGGGGAAGAAATTTGAGTGTGGCCGGTTCTAGGGTAGGCCTAGCCTGACTTTGGTGAATACTAGTTTATTCCCCCCCTAGAATTTTGCGTCACACTACAAAAGATAGAAAACCTTAATATAGCATGCAAAATGCGTAGTATGTGAGAAATTATACAAGAAAGTTTTGTCACAAGTCAGTATGTGTATTCTAGGCTGATTAGCAGCTCATTGCCATCAAAGAATGACTTCTTTACTAGATTACTACAATACTATACTTTTCACACAGAGACGAGGTGGCATACCTTGTTAGCGCGAGAGCCCAGAATGAAGAGAGTGTCTTTACTGAGCCTCGCAGGGTCCCAGTTGCAACTCACAGGTCGAGATATTCTTTTACGCAGAGCAACAGTCTGGCTGGTCTCAGAGTCTGTATCTGACTCCTTGCGCTTCCGCAACAACGGGCTCTGAAAATAGTGAGTGAAAGGTTAATCCCTAAGTTATTATCACAGTAATAGTTATTGTAACAAATATTATCTAGTCAAATATTTTACACAAGAATTAATGTTGAAACAATTCTAAGGATTAGAGCTATGTAAGCGCAGCATGTATACTAGTTAGTGGCTAGGCCTGTACATCACTGACCTGAGTATGTGTTCTGCGAAGGCGAGACTCTATGAGGCTTGTAGTCTCACAGTCACTGAAGGGCGACCCCCCTCTGCTCAGTGGGCCACAGTACATCTGTTTGGCTTCATCCAACATAGCCCGACAAACCTGATAGAAATAAAAAATGTTTTATACCTGTAATTATGTGTACTAATGGTATCAGATAAATTATACATACTCTCTAAGCTTTGGTGTTGAAACCAAAACCTTCTAAAATTTTACTAGTTTAAATTTCAAGTCTTAAAAAAAACAAAATGGAAGTCTTTCTGAGTTGAGAATGGTGTAGTTTTGTAAATAAATAGTATCAGCAATCTGGCTAATGGGTGTTCCAGTTGAATGCACCGTGAAAACAATTCATATCCAATGTGATTTTAAAACTAATACTTTTTAATCTTTATTTTACAAAGCACAAATTAAATAAACCATTTCAGAATTCTGACACATACTTTCTCCAACTACCTTTATCATGGGTAAGCGATGAGAGTAAATATGATATTTAAGAGGCGGTCGGAGTCAGTCTGTATTCTATATTCTGCAAGCGTCACGAGCAAGAACACAGATCTACCAAAACAGACTTTTGTAATATTACCACCCTCGGCCACCAGTTTTGTGGCTGTCAAATTGCGGGAGCTGTGATTTTTGAGAACCCTGTGTGACCTAGAAACTAGAAAGCGTCAACTCGGCTACCCTCAGCCAGTTCCCGCAGGGGGCCCATGCTTGCGTGGGTACGTGGCCTAGCGACCACGCGGACCCTAGCTCTCCCAGAGGGGAGGTAATTGCCCGGTGTTTGACCCGGCACTTCAGGTAGGCCACAGTTATGGACGACTGGTAAGCGCCAGCCCCTTAGGGGGAGCCTCCAGTGACACTCCCTCCATTCAGGGTGGGGGGGTGTTTAGCTCTCAGTGACGCCGTTAATTCCGCCTCTCCTCACCTACCTGTAACTGTGGTGGTGACTTGAGTTCTTCGGGCTCGTCCTACCTGTTGTGTTCGACTGACATTTTGTGAGGCATATACTCGACTTTGGAAGTAGCCTCGTCCTGGGAGGTGAAAAACCTAGCCCCCAAAGGGGAGGTAACTGCTCGGTGTTGGTATCGGCATTTTCAAGTAGGCCACAGACATGGACGACTGGGCATTGGGTCCCAGTGACATTCCTTCATCCAGGATGGAGGGGTGTTTAGCTCTAGGAGAGATGGAAGTGCATCATAATCTCTAACCTACCTGTGTCTGTGGTTCTTTGGGTTTCGGCCTGCTTGTTGTGTGCGACCAGCATTCAGTGTGGCAAATCCTCGACTTTGGAAGTAGCCTTTCCTGGAGGTGAAAACGGGCAAGTACCCGTAGCTCACGGGGACACTCAAGGGAAACGTAACTTTCCGCAGTGTGAGGGTAACGGTTTGTAGGCACTTATGCAAACCAATCCCTGTCTCTGATCACGGACGGTATGGTTATCTTGAGTGTGGGGGGGTTCTTCCCGGAACCTCAATTGAGTCAAGGGTGTCGCCACCTCTGGTGGATAGGTTCATCCGGGTGGGTCCCACTTCTATACCTGCCTCCTTTTGGGAAACCCTGATGGCCTGGCAGTGATGTTGGGTCTGACGGGCAAACGAAGTAGATCGGGTGCTGGGTCCGAGCCCGCCAGGGGTATCTGGGGATCTATCGCTCTGGTTATCTCTGGTTTCCCAGCAACTGGGTAAGGCCTCGATCGGGTAGTGGTGTAAATGGGAGGTTGGGGTTCCCCCCGTCAGCGTGCTGACGGTCCCCTTCCTTCTGGCTATGATGGCGGGTTCTGCCTGTCAAGGATTAGATAGGTCCCGAGTGTTGCTTGCACTAAATGCGTCGGGGCGCTCCATTATGGTCCTCTAGGGCTTTGTACCTGGTGGAACCCAGGTGGAGTGACGCTTAAACAAGTAGCCGGAATCCCTGGTTAGGATTGAGGGGCAGTGGCGTTGCTTGGTTAAATTCCAGGGGGGGGAGAAGCCTCAAATTTCCCAACTGCCTAACATAGATTTCCCAACTATTTTTTTTTTTTTAAATCAATTTCTGTACCGGTACTATTTTTAAAAATCTACAAATTATTATACTACACTGCAGTAACATTCAATTCAGTATTTATAAACTCGCATTAACAAAACATAGCTAGTTTTACATCCTATACAAAATTACTCAATTTCTAAAACTTCTACCAATTCATAATGAAATTTTATGACTTCAAAAAGCTTGAACAAGTAATGTTTCGAATCCAAAAAACTTTAAAAACCATTGTGGTAGCAGACGTAGCAGTGTAAAATTTTAGTGATATAAAATAAGCCTCAGAGTACAAATTAGTGGGTATAGAAAATATATTTTATTACAAAATAATGAAATTAAAATACTTTTAGAAGTTAAGATCAACATTTTAACTTTCATAAAACTTACAGCTAGGGTAGGCCTAAACAAGTTTGTAATGATGAAATATTAATATCAGTGTTGTGAATAATATTACTCTAGCCTAGAAAGGAATGAACCTAAAGTAAGACTCGTATAAAATAAAAACGTTCAACTTGGTTGATAATAAACTTATACATACAATAAAAATGTTAACCTTCATCTTCATCAAACTAGAACTTAGACAAAAATCAAACTTAGAGTGAAAGTCAAACATCAAATTTTAGGTTATGTTTTGTCCACGTAGATCTGTTTCAGAGTGATTAGTTGATTCATTTTTGTAAATCCTTAATTAGGAGTGTTAAATAACTTGTGTAGATTTTTAAAATATATTCAGAGAATAAATATTCCATTTAGTTTATTAAAAAATAAGAGTTTTAAAGGTAATACCGATACACAAAACCTATGTTTAATGTTATTTTAATCTGCTTATTAGCAAGTACTCCGGTCAGTTAGCCTGCTCCAAATACCACAAAAAAGGTATAAAATATATTTCATGTGACTGACGTGAAAAATATTTTTGAATTTCTTGTAAACACTAACAAACAACATAATTGAACAGAAGAGCTACATTGCTTGCACTTTCAAAATTCAAACTTGCAGACGAATCATTCAGAATAATCAACACAGGACAGGATCAAGGTACCCAACATGCGTCCAATAAGGAACAAAATTTCTCGTAAACGAAATTCCAACAAGCTTTACCGCTAATTGATTATTGATTTCTTAAAATAAGGCGTGTTTAGCCATGGTTTAGCCTTGTTTAATCAAAGTTAAATTAAATCAAAGAAGCGTCAAGTTTATTTGTCCAAGTCAAAGAAATTTTTCCCTTTGATGGATTTTTGCAAATATTTAAATTTTGTTTAGTTTAAAAATATATTTTTCTTGTATCCGACTTCCCAACTGTCCCAACTCATGGCAAGGAAATTCCCAACTTTTCTCTTTCCCAGATTCTAGGGGGGGGAGGCTCCCCCCCCTACCCCCCCCAAGGCGACGCCCCTGTTGAGGGGCAACCCTCTTTCCGAAGGGTCTGCTTCGGCAGCCGGCGAGCCTGATGACCTTAAGTCATCCGCCCATGATGTGCTAAAGGTTGATGCGTAAGCTTCGGCCTACATCATGGGGCCCGGGTATGTCTCACGATAGGTACCGGGTATGTAGTCAGGGGGCTTCGGCTCTCATGACAAAGAATAATAATAATAATAATAATAATAATAATAATAATAATAATAATAATACCCTCAGCCAGTGTCCTACCAATTGTATATTGTTTCACTTTCACTGCTTGCTACCTTTGCTCACCCACCCTCTACGTCTCAGCCAGTCTCATTTCGTCACCATCACGTTTCCAATGTGCTAATTTTCAACACACCGTAAAATATGGTATGGAAATGCGAATCACTATTTCATCAAAACATTTAATACTACACAAAAACTTTAATAATAAAACACGTGACATTGAATTCAATTATATAGAACATATAGCTATTAGGCTCAATGATATAACCATTATCCTGAATTTGTTTGTAGTAAAAATGTAACAAAATATTTATTACACACCTTCGAACACATTTGCATCTACACAGCTAAAAAGTTAATGCAAAAGTCCGTCAAGAAATGGAATTAATCTATATCTTTACCAAAAGTGTTGCGTATGTCTGAGAAGGGTTTTTTTATAATAGTGGAATGTATTTTGTTGAGAAAGTTAAATTTAGTTTTGGTTTAAAAATTCCCTGTCCTGACCCTGGGCTGATTCAAAACGCTTGTTATAATTCCCACTTATATAGATCAATATTATTTGTTATTCTAATAAAAACATTTACTCAACATAAGAGCACATTTCCAGCATGAATCATGCTCCAAAACCAGTAACTATTTTATGATTCAATTACAAAGTTTTCATAAGGCCTGATCTCAAAGAGCTTCAAATAAACTCAAACATACAATCTGCATATATGCAGTTCATGTAAAATTTTTCGAGTTTGGTACCCATCTTGTTCCAAAACTCGTCCTCTCTTTCAATTTATTAATTCATCTTAACTAGCAAAATGAGAATCACGACAAATTAAATATATAAATTTGTAAAGGATCTCCAACACCGAGAAACTAAGTGAAGTTTATATTTAGTTTAGAGTTACAATCATATTGTTCAATGGTTTTAAAAAGATGTAGAACTTTACCCTAAGGTTGTACGCATTTTTCGCCTGTCTAAATGTCTTTGACGTCATAGCTTACCCTCGTCATCTGTCAAAACTTGATCCTGTACGCTTATTTCGCAAGATTCGAGGTGTACGCTTTTTTTGTATATTCGACGCAGCGCTGGTCCGAAGGGTGGATGGTTCCTGGAATAACTTACCATAATTGTACGTACTTCGTATGACCGAATAGACTTTTGTTCTACTGGAACTTGTTTTCCTACTGACAAATAGTTGGTATCAAACTGGGTGTTGCAGGAGCTACTTTAATGTTTGATATCAGTAATATTTTAATTGATGAATACACAGTCCAAAAATATTTTAGACTTAGATGCCTGTGAAATAAATATCATCACTTGATTGGCTTTGTAATACATCAGGGATATAATTACTTAACGATACATAATCAGTGAAACTGTGGCCAATTTAAACGAATAGTTTTATCGCGCTTGCTCGGTAACGGGTCTGTAGTCTGCAATCGACTGTGCTGCTGTC